ATGAAAAAGGCACCCTCTTATCTATAAAATCTCGAATATCCTATAGTTTGTACCGTTGCGACCAAAATAGCACGTTGCTATAAAGACCGGACTTTCACAGTTTTATAATTTTCGCAGGAAATTTTGTGGAAACAAGTTTATAATCTGAAAAGAAAGAAGTTCCAAGTTTTCAAGCAAAACCACCATCATATTTGGTATCTGCAGCATGACAGTATACTCACAAATACAAAACCCTAATTGGACTAATTGATTTGAAAATTCACACCAAGATTTGACAAAATCCTGGTTTCATGCATTGTCGGATGGCGGGGTTGTGTGCAGAATTGGCTCTTGGAGAGAGTGGGCCCAAAATTAGCGTTGGCCTGTTCATGACCCCTCATGAATTCTGCTCACGGCCGTGACGGCAAGTCTTTTAGGGTTTTTTAGTTGAGGCTAGGTAATGATCAGAGAGCACGCGCGCGAGAGAGAAGCAGACTGCGTCGCGGGCGCGAGCGGCCTTAATTAGGTCACAAAGCCCGCCATCCAGCCGCCAATCAAGTTAAGTCAAAGGTTAGGTTCCTTCACTGGCTCGCTGCTCGTTCACTCTGGATTTTTGGTCGTTCATATTCAGGAAAAACTCACAAAATGCTTCCACTATTACACGGAAAGAATAGAAACTATCAGAAACGTGTTTAAGAAGCTTATTTTGAAGAAATCGTTCTTATAGCTGTCACAACAATGTCACGCGCAATACGGGTAGTGTGTGCGTCCGCACATATTAAGATGCAAAAGACTCGACTGTATATACTAGTCTCGTACACGGTGTATGATATTATTGGTATCCAAACCACTTCCTTGCTGCAAAGAGTATTTTTAGCACAAAAGTGGCACCGTACATGCTTGAGTGGTTTCGAAATAGTGCGCTATGGATTTTCACAAAAACAAGTGGAATCTAGTAGTTGCAACCAGTAGCTACCATTTCTTACGATTAGTATTTGGCTGTTTCAATATTCTGGGCAGAATGCTCCAAGGCCAGCATAGCTCAATCTGCTTCGTTGTACTAACACTTTCCAGTATCTTGTTCGACGCTGATTGAGATTAGCAATAACAAAATTGTAGTTCTTCCGTGGATATCAGATTTTATATGCTGTCGACGTAACAGAACTTTTTGAAAGTTCGATGTGCGGATCCAAAACTCATGAAAAATTGTAGAAGAGCAGGTACTGTGATCGGACTCTCTTAAGTAATACGATTGCACACTAATAGCAGTGTCTGCATTTGAAAGAGCTCTTCAATCCATGCTACTTCTGCCTATTTAGCGAAGGCTATGGAGCTTGATTCTGGAGATTTATTACACTTGATAGGGGACTGTATAAGGATTGCACTGTAGTAGAAACTCAATCGAAAGTCATAACCATCAGTAGAAACATCAGTCACCACAATTTTCTTGCACCCTTTTTGACTTGCCGTCTAAAAAGAGCAACTATAATCAAAAATAAAATCATTTATTTTTGGATCTTTCAGCATTTTGAAGACCAAAAAAATTAAAAATGGATGTAAGTGTTGCTCTTGATCAGGTATCACCTGAAATGCCGATGTAAATTTCTCCTTCAATCAGTATCAAAAAGCGCATCATTCACTTATTCCAAATTATGTAATTCAAGCAAATTTGTTGAAAGCACGTATACTTACGATATATTAGGTTGATGCAAAAGTTCTTTCCCCCAAATTCAAAAATTCATAACTTGTTGAATTCTTAACGAATCTGCAAGATCTAAATTTTATATAAGAGAAGAAATCATACTCTTTGCATCTGTACCTGAACTGTTCGTTAATATGTATAATGGAGGAGTTAGACGCTAAAAACCGAGATCACTCAAAATTCGAATTTTTCGTGTAGGGTCATAAAAAATCGGAAACTTGCAGCAAAAATCGGAGCAGTCACAATTGTAGGTTCTTTTACCAGCTCTTCCTAATGGTGCAAAGCTTGCGTCGATTGAGCGTCTCTATCAAAAGTTACAATTTCCCTGAAAAATGCCAAAATAAATCAAAATCGCCCTTTTGTATTGCTTGCTCGAAAATCATAACTTTTCATAGAGACGCTCAATCGATGCAAACTCTGCACCATTAGAAAGAGCTGGTAAAAGAACCTACACTACTGACTGCTCCGATTTTTCTTGCAAGTTTCCGATTTTTTATGGGCCTACACAGAAAATTCAAATTTTGACTAATTTTCTTCTATCGCTCCTATCTATGCAACAGATGACCTTTAGCAAGCAGTTAAAATGTCATTATGAAGAGCATGAGTTACTCTTTCACACAAAAATAGATGCAGTCAAATTGGTTGAAAAAATCAGAAGTTATGAATTTTTGAAGATGGGGGGAAAGAACTTTTGCATCAACCTAATACTTACGACCTTTCAATTTTAGTGCATGGACCAGCTCAATTACTTTGGTAAGAACTTGAGAAGTAGAATTAGTTGAGAAGGATTAGGTCAAAATTCTCTCACTCAATCATAGGCTGTCAGCAAAGGGGAGGAAAGTTCTTTGTCGTGATGTTTGCTTTAAATAATTTTTCCCGTTTTTTACCTGCTCAAACCAGTGAGTTTAGGTTTGTACGGATATCGAATCCGAAGTCATTGTGTTGTGAAGGAGCAGCATGAACCGTGTACGATTTTACGAGACTTCCACTAGTCTAACTGCACTGCTGACTTCAATTCAAGTTCCAAAATAAACCGCAATTCCGATATGTTTTCCGCTTGACCAGCTCATGCTGCAAAATCATAACGAGTTCTAAATACCATGCTTACTCATATTTTGTGTTCATCGGCCATTTTCTCGCAATAGTTTGTTTACAAGTTATTACGCATGTGGACCACCCATATCCAATAGTGTCAAATACTCAAAGGACTATAGTTTCTTCACGACTTGCTGTTACCGCTACGTAGTAGCGATAACTTTAACGGATGAACTCATCTCCTCACTAATCTCAGCGCTGTGGACGGAAGTTCCGCATATTTAGCTAGCAATTGACGCTAAAACCCTTGGTAGAAAAGTTTCCTATTATAAATGCAAAGTTTCACTTCCGCAAATTTTTGTTTTTGTCGAGTAGGCGTTAGCCCTACTGATTCATGAGCATTTCCTGCTTCACGAGGCAAATCTTGGAATAAGCAATAGGATATTCTGAGAGATTATTGGGATTGTTCCATAGGAGACTTTACACTTCCTTCATTAAGTCAAACGATGGTGTTTTTGACCAGAAAGTTTCAAGATTCTAGCAATTATCTCTAAACTATGTGCATAGTGATGCAAAAGTTCAAAATGTTTAACTTGCGCTGGAGACCAAGCAGTTGCTGTGAGGTTTTCAATACTTAGCATAGAGTTTGTCTTCAAAGCTTAGAGAGGAGGGAAATGGTATGCTCACAATCGATTTCATTTGCTAATTATTTGGCAAACGACGGCGTGGGCAAAAAGTGGAGGGAGGGGAGGGGACGCACCACTCGCATGTGATCACTAAATTTTTGAAAGTGTCCTACTCGGATCATAGAATTGAAGGCAATTTCTATTTTGACAATAGTATTACTTTCAATAGTAATCCATTATCGCACTAGAATTTCCAAGTCCGAATCTCCTCTATTTTCGAGGCTCGTCTTCTAAGTAGATCAGTAGTCATATATTAGGTTGTCCCAGAATTATTTACCGTTTTTACTTCGACGGTCGTCTTTCCTTCATCTGATTGGTTTGAGTGATCATTCGATAGGGCAAAGCATGCTCTACAAGGTGGCTATCAAAAGTCTGCCCAAATCGTAATCCACCTAAAGTTTTGAGCTGAAATCTTATAGTAGTCGAAAACGAACTTTTCTGTTAAAAGTCGTATTTCCGCCCCAAAGTATCTGAATAATTTCAAATTTATTCTGACATATGCTTGACATATTGCGCAATCGACTGCACAATTTTCGCTTTTTTTCAATGGCTAAAAAGAAAAAATTGAATGGAGTAAAATGGCAAACTCCGCTCCTAGAAGTCCTGAGCTCCTCCCACACACGTGATCTCATAGTTCATACATACAGAAGTACGATCATGTATTTGAAAAATTTGAAGGTGCCTCAGTTCTCGAGAAATGCTGATTTTTAGAGTAAAATCGGTAAATAATTATGGGACACCCTAATAAGTACAATATAAGTAGTTCAGAGAGAAAAATCATGCTCGTTGCAGTGGTGCTTGAAAAAAAAGCATTGCCGGCATATCGCAACGTCAAAAAACTCGGATCGTGTCTATTAAAATATGTCAAAAATGCTGGAAATTTGTTGATTTTACTTTGACTTACGACCTAGTGTATCTGAACAAACTAGTGCTGATAGAACGCCTCCGTGATTAGCTACAAATATGCAGTATTTTGAATCAACATTTCTACTTTTTAATGGCACCCTCTAGCACTTATAGCAAAATAGATCACCTGTCATATTTTCGCTGCAAGACTCATGAATCAGTTCAAAATATACGTTACGAATAACCTGCCTGTGAAAAACAATCAGATTTTTTCGTATTGTCAATGGAAAATAATTCTGTCATCACCCGTTTTTTGGAGCATCACTGCTAAGCTCCGAGATTTACTTTTGTTTACGTCTGCTTTCAGCATTTTGGTCCGCTATATTGCGACAAAATTGCTCATGCCTTTATGGAAAATTGCAGAATGCTACTAGGCTTCGAGAATAACAGCAGGCATGCTTCTTACACTTCCTCTTGGCAAGGCAGATAGTAAAAGAAAGTAGTTATGAGAGCTTTGAGGTGTTGGAATGCACGTAGCTTACTCTGCAAAAAGTGTAGAATTTATAATACTCTCATTACTTCATAGATGAGAGAAGTAAGCTAGAACTGGCTTTTTTCGGGCATTACGAAAACTTCTGATCTCCTCGTGTTTGTTTATTTCTGATTCTCTGACTTCTGGTAATCACCCTTTCAAAATTACTACCCCATATCCTCCACCGCCCTGATTTCTTATGAAACTTGTCCTTTTACAAATGTTGCATGAAAGTAGAGCCAAGTGCAACACTCACAGAACGTTTGCTTGGCAGCTGAGCGGGTGGCGTTGGTGGGCAATTTGGCTATTGTTTGAGCTCGCCGCTTTTATATGCGCTCGAACGTCGTCTAAAAACTCAATCCACAAACGAAGTGAGTTTTTCACATCGTCTATTGGCAACATTTAATACTTCAGCGACATTTCAGTGCATCGACTTCCTTCTGGCAGGCGGAAGACATGCGATCGTAAGTCAAAGCTTTTGCCTTCTTCTTTGACAGTGAACAGTTACAGAAAGGTGCGAATCCGCATTGGAGCGGAGTGATAGATGGGTCTTTTCGTGTGGGAACAGGTTAACACAAAGGTAAGCTGGGTAGAGCTTGTGCATGCTTCAAGTATTTCAAACAGGAAACCTTACTAAAAAAAATGTTTGAAAATTTTTTACTTGTTCACGCGACGCACTTAAGGAAAAGAAGTTTCAAGATGTATTTTTACATTACATTATTTCTGCTTCTAAAACCCCAGAGGCATCCGGCTGCCCACAGGCATAGAGATACCGAAGTTTTTGAGAAATATAAGAGGAAGAACAAGGAGAAAAGGGGAGGAAGTATCAACTGTAAAAAGGTAAATGTTTCACAAAACCATCTCAAATTTGCTGACTACGTATGCATATGCATCAATAATCGTGCTAATAGTTAGATCCTTTCATCCCCTAGGAATGAAAAATATCAGATCTCTAGAAAGCTTCTGGATATCAACGATCGTCTTGTGAGCATACTCAGATTTCCCTTCTATAGGATTTTTGCCTTTTACCGTGTTTTTGGATTGGTATTTGATTATCAAAACGTACCATAAATACACAAATTAGGTGCATGATGTATTTATTAATAAGGATAACAAAAAAATCTTCAACTCAAGATGAGTGTAAAAGAAATTATTAGCCAAGATGATACTCACAAACTTTCTCTTTAGGTTGATGATTGTCTGCTTTTCATCGATATTTCCATACACGAGATCTGAGCCATTTAATTATAGAGGTATGTTTTATTCGTTGCAGATTGCTTTCAGAATAAAGTCTGACTTTACATAAAGTCAACACTGGTAAGATGAAATGTTTATTCTTTTGAACATGCTGATTTGGAGCAAATTCGTCGCAAATATTTTTTTGATGGGGCTTGTATCAGTCCTGAAGAATGTGGCGTACTTCATATAAAGTATCTGTGGCCTGCACTTCAGTAACATCCTCTCTGCCAATTTACACATGTCTCTTGAATTGCCAGTGTTCGAAGTACTTTTGTTGAGCATTCTTGGCGCTTCCAATGTGAGTCTAGTATGTGATTTGGCTTTCCTCCCGTCTGCCCACATGGGCATACCATGGCAATCTCCATTTTCAAACGAATGAATTCATTAGATTCCTCATTACCAAGACATAAAGGTTTCCCATTATATCTTGTTTATTTATATTGAGCTTCACCCCATACATACTACACTGACTTGTCCTTATGTCTTCATGCCTCATCTGTTAGTTGCTTTCTGCTTGTCGCTAAAATATCATCTGCATGCAGACGTATCTAAAGAAACTTACATTTGAGAGAATCTCTTACGAACTCCATTATTAGGATGAGGAGTAAAATTGTAAGAAATGATTTAGGTACTCTAGCCTTATTTTGAGACTTTTTGATTTCCTCGTAGCCGTACGACAAATTGAAACGTCATAGTGGATCCATACGCGTGCAAAGGGGGAACACGACCTCTCCAGGGTGAAGGGGGTCATAGGGGTCCCGCCTTTCGAGGGTGAAGGGGGTATGAGGGCCGCTGAGGGGGGGGGGGAGAGCGGCCGCGGCTGTGGTGGTGCGCCGACCGGGGGGGGGGGGGCAATGTTCCTCATCATTGCTTCTCATGTTCTTTTCATTCACATGCATCAAGTGAAATTGTAGCCAAACCGGGTTAAAGTCGAATATTGGGTTTTATCCGCTGAAATTCGAAGAAGAAAAACTGGAATAAGTGAGACTAAGAAATCAACATTTTGAGCAAAATTATAAAACTATCGGCATTATTAAAATCAAATTTAGTGACATGTTGATTCTGAATATTATTATTATGATTGTCAAAACTTACTTGCAGGCTCACTGAGAAGTACATCGGAAATTTGCCGCCTATTGTTCACTTCTAGAGAACGATGAAAAACCTGGAGAAAAATTTACGTGTGAAGCCTTTGTGTATGTAAGTCAATGCAGTTACTACTCACATATTTGCTGAAATAATAAGTGAAATAATAAATGAACTTTCATGATCGGTGCGCAGTTAAATTGCATTCTTTTTAAGAGGTATAAATTTTCTAAGCAGATGGCGGAATCCGTGTAAAGTCATTGAATGATTCCTTAAAGAGTCATTGTTCCAACTTTTAATATTATATCCAAACTCCGAAAGAGATCGTAACATTTGCGTAGAGAAGCAGGCGCAGCAGGGGCACCTATTACATCGAAGAGTTGGTGTAATCAGGGTTAGACTTACTGTCAAAATGTTAGCCACGAGGATCGTGGAGTTCTACAATCCGCCTACTTGGACGATGATAGGGATGAGGAAAGCAGCCAGGGATGCATTTTTCCACCTTGGAGCACTATACAAGAGGAGAAGGACAATCGTATATGATCACTGCGTGATTATTCTGAAAAAAAATTTGTTTTCCATCGAAGAAGATTGAGAAATATAAAAGATCTTAGAAGGAGAACTCAGTCATAATTAGCCTACTCTAGTTCAGAAGTCTATTTTCCATCCGCTTTCAGAAAACATACAGCTTGCCAGAAAAAAGAGGGGTTTTTCCTGCTAAATAGAAATAGTTTTAATCATTTTTTCAAAATTGTAGAATTTTTCTATAAAAAATTGTAGATTTTTGATATGAGAAGACAAGAGAGTCTCTAGCCATACATTAAATTACTCTTGTTGAAAGCTTCCAGAAAATATATAGCTTACCAAGGAAGAAAGGATTTTCTTGTATTGTGAAGGTGGTCGCAATTGTTTTTCTAAAATTAAGGAAATTTTTTTTATAAAAATTCATAACTTCACTGTACGAAAAGCTAGAAGAGTGCTTTGCACTCTGTTGGAATCCCCTCGTCGTCCGCTTTCAGGAAATATATAATTTGCCAGAAAAAAGAGGATTTTCCTATCGGGTGAAAGGGATCGCAGTCTATTTTCCGGAATTAAGCCAATTTTTAACTTAAAAAAATCATAACAATTTTATGTGAGAAGCTGGGAGTGTGATTGGGTGTTTATTGAATTCCTCTCGTCGTCCGCTTTCAGAAAATATATAGGTTGTAGGGAGAGGAATGCTAAAAGTACGTGGTGAAAGGGGAGGGAACATGGTATAATGGAAATCTTCCTTTCTGTTCTCAAAAAGCGTCGTTTTAAGGAGCTAAAGGAACATGCCCATTATACCATGTTCCCTCCCCTTTCACCACGTACTTTTAGCATCCCTCTCCCTACAACCTATATATTTTCTGAAAGCGGACGACGAGAGGAATTCAATAAACACCCAATCACACTCCCAGCTTCTCACATAAAATTGTTTTGATTTTTTTAAGTTAAAAATTGGCATAATTCCGGAAAATAGACTGCGATCCCTTTCACCCGATAGGAAAATCCTCTTTTTTCTGGCAAATTATATATTTCCTGAAAGCGGACGACAAGGGGATTCCAACAGAGTGCAAAGCACTCTTCTAGCTTTTCGTATAGTAAAGTTATGAATTTTTATAAAAAAGAATTTCCTTAATTTTAGAAAAACAATTGCGACCACCTTCACAATACAAGAAAATCCTTTCTTCCTTGGTAAGCTATATATTTTCTGGAAGCTTTAACAAGAGTAATTTAATGTATGGCTAGAGACTCTCTTGTCTTCTCATATCAAAAATCTACAATTTTTTATAGAAAAATTCTACAATTTTGAAAAAATGATTAAAACTATTTCTATTTAGCAGGAAAAACCCCTCTTTTCCCTGGCAAGCTGTATGTTTTCTGAAAGCGGATGGAAAATAGACTTCTGAACTAGAGTAGGCTAATTATGACTGAGTTCTCCTTCTAAGACCTTTTATATTTCTCAATCTTCTTCGATGGAAAACAAAATTTTTTTCAGAATAATCACGCAGTGATCATATACGACTGTCCTTCTCCTCTTGTATAGTGCTCCAAGGTGGAAAAATGCATCCCTGGCTGCTTTCCTCATCCCTATCATCGTCCAAGTAGGCGGATTGTAGAACTCCACGATCCTCGTGGCTATAACATTTTGACAGTAAGTCTAACCCTGATTACACCAACTCTTCGATGTAATAGGTGCCTCTGTTGCGCCTGCTTCTCTACGCAAATGTTACGATCTCTTTCGGAGTTTGGATATTATATTAAAAGTTGGAACAATGACTCTTTAAGGAATCATTCAATGACTTTACACGGATTCCGCCATCTGCTTAGAAAATTTATACCTCTTAAAAAGAATGCAATTTAACTGCGCACCGATCATCAAAGTTCATTTATTATTTCACTTATTATTTCAGCAAATACGTGAGTAGTAACTGCATTGACGTATATACACAAAGGCTTCACACATAAATTTTTCTTCAGGCTTTTTCATCGTTCTCTAGAAGTGAACAATAGGCGGCAAATTTCCGATTTACTTCTCAGTGAGCCTGCAAATAGGTTTCTGATGATCATATTGATGAAATAAGGAATTAAAATATTACTAAATTTAATTTCAATAATGTGGATAGTTTTATAATTTTGCTTGAAATGTTAATGTCTTAGTCTCACTTTTTCCAGTTCCTCATCGGCCGTGGGTGAAGGTGAGTCAGCTGGGTTCCGGCCCTGGGGTGAAGGGGGTAGGAACACGTTATCGCCTTTTCACATGTATGAGTGGATCACTGCTATCCACCGTAGTCTCTTGCCAACATGTGCTTCCTTAAGGCCTAGATTTCATGGACCACTTTATCGAGGAAATTTTGGTGGAGGCTCACTTTCAACTCCTTCTGTCCCTGTGTAGTTCTAAATTACGATCTAGGTGGAGAGGCATCGGGTGTACATATTCCTTTTCCTTCGCTTGATGACAATAAATCAAGTTCCGGACTTGCACATGAGACCTCAACTTACTGTCCTCCCGGACCAATTGCCTTGCTATTTACTGTTTTCGTGACTGTTAGCCACGGTTTCTTCCATAACTGCTCGTGCTAGCAATTTTATATTTTATCAGCACTGTCCTTAGGAGAAGTGAAGCCATTCCATAGAACTTTAAGCTACTTTTAAGCTCGTAGGAACGTCCTATCATGTTGAAATCTTTTTCATGGTTCTCAGTCCGTTACAAACTTTCTTCTCCATATTTATAAATGGAACAACTGTCAGAAGTTTGCCAGGCTATTTCTCACATACATAAAAAGGAACTAAACTCTTTGGCTGCCGACACTACGTTAAAAAGGCTACCAAAGAATGCGGAGAAAGGGCGAGGGAAGAGGAAATAAAGTGAAGAGTGAGGTTGGCAAGAGCTGCTCTTTGCGCCTGTAAAGATTCTGCACCAAAAATAGTCTACTTAGGCTATACTATCGTACTCTTGGTAGGAGTCTGGTCCATACGATTTCTGATAACTTATGCTAATCTCAAATCTTACAGGGAAAGGAAATTCAGTCGAAGTGGCTTTTTATATGCGATGAAGGCTGCCTCGAAGGGTATGAAAGTATGAAACGTTAATCTCAAATCTTCCTTCCTTATCTACTGCGGGTTCCTGGGTGAGGAGTTATGAAGGATATGGACAAAATTTCGCAGTGCAGTTTGGATAAAACAGTTGTGATAGTTTTTCTACGGCTTGAGAATAATTTTTGAGTTCTCAAATAATCAGATTTGAAAGCACTCAACGCTGCCACATTGGAACATTAGGAAAAGTCAATGACTGATTTTCACTAATCATGCGTTGAAAGTCCTGCCCATAACAACTTCATGAGTCCTTGTTCAAAAAGGCGCAGCAGATAAGAAAAGTTGACTTTTGAAATCAATGTTTCATACTTTTCAAGTCTCTACACATCTCATATTGAAAGACCACATCGACTAATCTTCCTTTCCTTGTCAGTTTAGACTCAACTGCTTTTAAGTTTTTGTGTTCCAGAATATGCAGCTCGAATAGGTATCCGTTGTCCACCACGTTACTTCGATTGTGACCTCTCCCTTCGTCTTCCAATCTGTATACCAATGATGGCGCTAAGAAACTGTACCGCTGAATGCCCCAATCGGTCCGATGAAAGTGAGTTGGAGCACAAAAGCTAATACATTCTTTCAAGTTCTGTTTAGAATGTGGTTTCGGCCAAATTCTTTGCGATACGAGGACCCGGGGATATCCTTGCGGAAAATGTGTTCGACCAGAAGAAGCGAAGGTGAAGTGTAAAGACGTAAGATGTAAGTTGTTTCTCTGCGATGTGGAACGTTTATGGACTAAGTATACTTTAGGGAAAGCCCTATGTGATGTGCCAGGAACTGTGAAATGCGCCACTACAGAAAACTGCGTCTACCCGTCATGGATCATGGATGGTAAGGATGACTGTGGGGATGGCAGCGATGAAGGTGATTATACCAAAATTATTTACAGCAACAGACTATTATATTCACTACTTATTCGCTGATGGCGCCTCTTCCGCTGATCATATTCGTTGGGGGGGGGTCTAGAGGGACTATGACGAAAGATAGCTCACCTTTATTGTGAGACCATAGAAACTTTCTTACATTGGGGCCTAGGCTACCATTTCGAAAAGATTCCAAACCCCGATCTACCTAGTTTTGGAAAACAACCTTTTACAGTTCTCCAGTGCGGATGGCCATTTTTACAAAAATGTAACCTCGAGTCATTTGTAACTTTATATGTGGGATGGCACACTAAGCCCTATTAGCGGCGGCACTCATTTATACTAGTAACTTCTCAGTAAAACATTTTCTAGCCTAACAAAATGTATAAATGTGTTCTACTGACTAACATATAATCGACTAAAATAAAAACAGAGAAACAAAGGGAAATCACTGGAAATGGGCAGATTCTATTAGGTTGTTTATTAAGTTTTGCAATTACTTTTATAACTTCTCCCATTTTGCATAAGACGCACTCAAGTTTACCATCATGTAGGTACGTAAGCACAAGCGCAACCACAGTTCTGCAAAATTCTGATGTTGCAGCGGAGGTTACGGAGGTATATGAGCGGAAAAATTACATATGATTGCAAAATTGTCTGAAACTTTGCGTAGGTGGGTTATCTGACATGTTGAAATATTATCTGACACGAAAACAATCTTGGTTTCGCATAGTAGGAGCTTTTTGCAAGGTTACCGTAGGTTTACGGTATGGGGTCTCACGCCAAGCAAGAAAAGAGGCGTTAATTTCATGAATGAATTCGATACATATTCGACAGGGCAAGTAACCTCATCATGCAAAGCTTTGGCGAATTCTGAGACTTCGACTCCTGGTGATTGACGCTTGTCTGTAAGCAGCTTTGCGTACCGCCGCTCGCTTAAATTTTTGAGGGCGCCAAAATCTTGACTCGTCTTCAAATTCCATTTCTTCCTTACTGCGCTAGATGAGTCAACCTCTAGCAATTTGTGCACACTTTCGGATTGTTATGCATGATCTAGGTTGAGAACGGCTTCATTTTCACGTAAAAGCCCATAAATCCTCGAACTTCACCAGTTTTCGAGAAACTCTTGGATTTTTTCTATTTTGTCATCAGAAAGCGAGCGGCTTGTGCTAGTCTATAGCCCATACGGCAGTCCACACAATATCAAAATTTGAGCGCGCCAATATCAGGAAGCGAGAAGTTACGGACTCACAATCATTTGCAAACTTAGTGAACAGCCTAATATTGCAGTTTGTCAGTTAGCGTGTATAGTGTGCACTATGCATATTAAGTTACCATTCATTCCATGACTGGGAGACGCGAGACCGCATTGCACGCCTTGTCTAAACAATCCCAATCGTGTACTTAACAAGGTTATACTTTTATTCAACTCGTCCGGATCTATTTACTCTTTGGGAACAGGGAAGAATATCAAACTTGTTAAGACAATATCCGCAATGCGGTTTTGCGTCTCCTAGTCGTAGAATGGACGGTACAAATGACTCAACGATAAATAACAGTTTTACACTATCACCAGCGAATCTCTCGAACGAGATTTATTGTAAAGTACAAATTTCAGACTCAGCTCAGGTTTGGTCGAAGGCAGCGTCCACCCAGATTTTCGGTTTTTATGCCTTGGGCCTCTATAGCGTTTTTGGATATGATTTGCAAATACGTTGAAAAACTCTAAAAACCCCTTTTGTAACCCTCTTTTGGCAAACATGGATGCAACAATAATTTTTGTCGTATGCAACAGGAACACGTCATACGCTGTGCACGTGATGTGTACGAGCTTGTCATGTAAGAACGTGTCAGCAGGCAATCCTTGGATGAGCGGAACGGACATAGGAGGCGGAGCGAGCATTGCGGAGTGCCTTTTTCGAAGGGATTTTTTTTTGCTTTGAAAGTAGCCTTTCACGGCGGAACCTGGACATTCGCCTAATGTAGACTATCATACGCCATAGATTCTCTTCATCCCTTACTTTGAATGGGCAGCGCCTTAAAAACAATGTCTCGGTGGAGTTTCGTTTTCCAGATATCACCTTTTCGGAGACTTCTCGCCATAAAGAACCCATATTTGGGCTTCTTAAAAATGGAGAAAATGAGCTTCCCAAGCCTTCCAATTCCGCATTCACTGAAGAGTACGTGCGAGTGAGCGGGGACCGAAGCGAGGAAGGCGAGGGGCGGAAGACTTCCGGCGTATCTTCGTTTCGGACCTGGAAAGCTTCAGAAAAGCTCATTTTCGCCATTTATCGCTAAAAAGATATGGAATACTTATGGCGAAAAGGCGAAAAAATGTAAAACGAAAATCTGCCGAGACACTGCCTTCAAGGCGATGAAAAATTCGTTGGAGTCTTTTGCGACATGATTTGGTTCCTAGACGCGCAGATCCCGATGGTTTCTACCGTATCCATACAGTAATACGGACGTATGAGACATGTTGTGTACTTCATTCAATTTAAGAGCCTTGCCGTCTATTCGTCTGCAATGTCGAAACTCTGCCTACGACAACTACCACAACTACCACCACCACAACCACTACGACGACGACAACAACAACTTTACCCACACGGCCAGCAAGTTAGTAAATGAAAGCAAATCAAAAAGCTAATCTAAAACCTTTTGTTCCATTTTCGACATCACTGTCCTCTGCGAACCCGAACAGTTCCGCTGTTTGAGTGGAGATTGTATAGATGCATCTCATGTTCTCGATGGTTATCAGGACTGTTACGATAATAGTGATGAAAGTATGTCAATTTTTTGGGTTTTATCAGCGTTTACTTGGCGCATGCATATTCTCAAAAACGGCTCATTATCAAAAAAAAAAACAATGTTGCGCCTACATTATTGAACTTGACATAGAAGTACCGATTTCAATTCAAATAAAAAGTGATGGTGCAAAAGAGTACTGTCCTTCCAAGCTGCGCTCGAAACTGGCGTGGGCTCAAGTTTATTTTGGTGAAACTGGCTTAAATCCCAAGAAGGAATTGCATTCAGTATTACAGAAACCGTTCCCATACTACACAATGTGCTTTTACGTACACATCTAGCTTTCTGAATCTCCTATTTCATAAATATTTAGCATAATTCGCCGCAATCACTTCTTAGATGGTAGGCTTTCGAACTCGAATTCTTGTACAGATACTAAGGTTACATAGTGTTCGTTTCTGTATACTATAAGGGAAAATTGATAAAACTTGTGCTTATGAAACAGACTCAAATATGGATTTTAAGGACTGTTTTTGATTTCAGCTAATTTCTTGTCGTTTTCTTTTCTTTACGAAATCTCATAGGCTTGCGTCAAACCTCTTTGCATAGCTAATATGACACGATAACAATCGCCGGCTTTTTTTTTCAGCTTCAAATGACACACCAATGCTTTGGCATTAATTTGTGAAAATTTCAGAATACTGTGAGATGATGTCCGAGCAGTGCCCGCTCCAGGCCCCTTGCAGTTTCCAGCCAGACATTGTATCTTTTGGATGCGGCTGTCCCGGAGGAAAGCCCAATGCGAGAGGAATTTGCGAGCCTCTCGAAGATAAAAATTGATACCGCTTTTATTCAAACTGCTGTAGTACTGCCAACCAAAATGCTTCCTATTTGAACCCTGCCAAACTAATAAAACGTTCTTTCACAATTTCGTTGTATATGAGCAGATGAAGAAAGCAGCTGCGCAGGTCGAAGGTGTTTCATTGCGCGGGTAATGAAGCATGATCAGATTTGGTGGAGCGAGCAAAACATCATTCTTCTTCTCGCATCGCGTAAAGATCTGCAAGTTTCTTCACTTTACAATCAAATTACCCCGTTTACGTTATTATCGCTTTAATTTATCAAATTTTGTGGTTGATGCTTATGGTTTAGCGACTTAGCATTTCCTAGTACAGAATCAAAAGAAATGGGAACGTTAATATCAAATTAAGCTGGTTGCATTTTTCCGATACATCATCAAAATTCGCATCAATAAGTAGAAACATAAGAAGCATATATGAATCAATTCCGCTGTGAAACTAAAATCATGTAAACAATCTATCGCGGCATTTGTAGCATTTGGAAAATTTTCTGAAGCCCAAGGTATATAGTGTGGACCCCGGCCAGGTTCCCATAGGTACTTCCGCAGCGCGCACGCAGCGCGCGCCGTTCTCAATGCCTTTCGCCTCACTCATGAGCAGTAGAGCATATTTATGCTAGCAAAGGAGAAAAATGTAAAGTGGAAATCTCTAGGCTCCCTTCGAAAGAGACGTATGCGAGAATGAAACGCAGGCAATTTCCATGAGTACCTCAAATTCAACTAATGGATGCATATTCCGAACTTGCACTCATGGATAGGTTGTAATAAGTATACGTAGAAAAATTAAAGAGCAACAGCATTCTTAAAATATTTCTCTTCATAAACGTAGAATTTAGAGTGGTCAAAGATTCCAAAAAAGTGGATATTTCAGTAAACAAATGCCTACTGGCTTCTCGGAAGGCTCGGTTTTGAGTTGAGACACTGTCTACACCTTGCACATCAAACCTAAAGGGACTCTTATCTTATACAAGAAGCTTTTGAAGGAATATTATCTTGATATCCAGTTAAATCTCAATCTTTCAGAGAAAAAAATGGAAAACACAATACTACTACACAAGACTGAACTCTTAGAACAATTAGAGCACGTGTAATCTCGTCACCGGTTATCGCGAGTTGTTTATACCTAAAATAGAGGGAATATAGTACATCAAAAACAAAAAAAAAGAGAGAGAAAGGAGGATTTCTATCAGAAGCTAGGACAGGAGACGCACTGAAGGCGTGCGTTTGCGGGTGCAGGTACCTATGGGAAGCTGGCCGGGGTCCACACTATACCTCACCGGTTTCACCACGCGATCTGACAATTTGCCAGATGTCTGCAAATTCTACTGGTAGATCCCAAAAGCACAGCACGTATAACTTTCGTAGATTGAGAAAATGCCCTTTGTTCAGTACATTGAAAACCTCTTACGATGAGTTATGACCCAAATGGAGAATTGCCAAATCACTCGCGACTGAAATAGCGTGAGGTATGTTTCTGGCGTGAGGTTTACTATTATCAATCGCTTCAGCTTCAACAATCGCTCATAGTTTACGGAAATGACGACAATTCACCGAATTTCGCGATACTCGCATTGCAAAGCCAAATCCTGATCATGGTGAATGGATCTGAATCTAACGGCATCATTTGGGTCAGCTAAACATTGAGCATCCTTTGTTAGAAGTGGTTCTCTGGCGGTAGGTGCGCAGTAAAGAGTAAGTTTTCAGCAGCGCTATTGGTACGTTGTACTAAATGGAATGTACGGATCAGGACTGACAAAACTTTTAACAAGTTGGCAGTTGTTTTGAATAAGTAACGTGAATTGTGTGAGAACCGTATCCAGACAGTGCTACACATAAGAACTGGGCGGGGTCAAATTGAGTTGAATAGTGCCTTTGGATTCAGAAACTGTCAGAATCCGAGCTGAGCACTCCGGTGATAACTGCGTCTTCTTTTTCAAGAATTATGATCCTGTTGTGCCTGGCGAAATTTGGCTTTTTTGTGCTAAATTTCAAAATTTGGTGCACCTCCGATAAAAACTGAAAATTTATTTCACAGTTTCCTTCGGGACAACTTTTAGAGACTAGAAAAGTGTTAAAAATAGCTGAGCCTCATATGGTCGTAGATATTTTAATGAAACTGCTTTAGCAAGGAAGAGTATCTCGCAGTGAGGATAGCATGTATTCAAAAAGAATCGCTACCACGCAGCTTTTGATCGCAAGCTAGCATTTAGAGTCCTAACTGCTAGAAATGAACTGCATTTTTGGCCACCCAACAATAGATCCAATGATGCGATCCATGTATTAGGTTGGTGCACAAGTGATGCCTGTTATTCTAGCCTCTTCTTCTAAACAACTTTTTTTAATCAAGTTTGCCTCCATCAAACAAGTTTTCGCAGATACTATAGTGCTCCTTTTATCCTTTGTAACAATTGATGAAGCAAGCAAGTAGAGTTATCCATTAGCATCTTATCCATCAAAACTCAAACAGCAGTCAAGAAAAGCACCTACATAACTAAGCAGGGAATGGTCAGAACTTAACCCAGCCATACCAGACATGTGGGCAACAAAGAATTTTTTGAGTGGGGTGCTTTCGTTAGTCACGCACTCCAATAAATTTTTTGGGTGCTTCCCAAATTTTTTGCTGGTTCACGATTCCGAAATTTTAGAAGAAGGGGAGTGGCGGCGGCCACGCCCCAAAAAAATTTTCTTACAGAGCTAAATCAAAATTTCAAAATTGTTTAATTTTTTCCAATTATTCAGAAGTATAAAGAAGTCATTTGCACTCGATACATGTAAGTAAATTTCAAAAATTCGCTACCCATCCTTGGCTCCCACCCCCCCCCCCCCGCCCTCCCGGTCCGCCACTTGGCGTTACCGAATACGCATTTTGAACTCGGCGAACGTTCTGTTTACAGTGTCAATGCCTTAATGTCACTCTTAATTCGTACGACCACCGCCTTCGCTTTCCTCCGTTTTCTCACTTACTTGCTTTCGATGACGCAGTTTTCTTATCTCCAACGAGTGTTTCAGTTATTATAGGGCTCAAACTTAGGACTTACTTACTTTGGCTTGCAGTTCTAATTGAAGAAGAATTTGCGAGTGGCAACGAAGCGTACAAAGCTGCTCTTTTCTTTTCACAAATTTCATCAACTATAGAGCAAATATCTTCACAATCCTTCATATATAAAGCTGAATGTCTGTTTGTCTGTATGTCTGTCCGTCTGTATGTGTGTACGTATGTTCCGAATAGAAAATTCCATTTCTGAACTTGGGTACGTGTTCATTGGAGTTATTACCAGATCCATGGTTTCTGAGGCCTTTTCTTGAAAGTCCAAAAATGATTACTTCTTTTGAAATAAGGTATTGTGCGACACCGCATTTTAAACTAGCCCTTCCAAATCGTTTACTTGCTGTTTACTTCGTGAGATCAGAATAGCTTCTTCTGCTCGAAATGCTAAATCTTGTCCTAGACTAGAACCAACAGCTTTGGATGACGTTTTCTCGAGTTTTCCCATGCCAGCTAATTTTGTTTGCGAAATCTTATCCTCAGCAACGAGCATCATAGACTATAAAACAGTTTTGAACCAAGGTAGACTGTTTGCTTTAAGACGGTCCGCTTTTGTGTGATGCTTTCTGATAGACATTCTATTCCTATGAGAATTACGTGAATTTTCTACTCCGGGTCGTTGAAGTACATAGTTTTGAATGCACAAAAAGGTTTGTACTCGTTTGTGCTATACCACATGTATACAATTTCAAATATTGATTTGTCAGTGCAGTGTTGCAAAACACATTTGGTACTATCATACCAATCAAAAACTTCGGAAAAAAACTAGCTTCGTGTGCTTTATTCGCTCGAAAATCCGCCAATCGTTCGTGGTTCTTTACAGCTAGCAAAGAAATTCCTGACCTTGTTTTCTGTCTGTGCTGATTTACTGCTCTCACAAAACATTTTTTGCACTTCATTGTGAAAACGTGGGACAAGTAAATAAATGGAATGGACCTCCTTTCTTCGTCGATTTTGATTGCGACATAACGGTATTACAATCACTTTGAGACAGTAGTTTTTTCGGTGAAGGAAATGCCGATACTAATAATAAACAAATTCCTATTTTCGTTTCGTAAAGGTTATGATCTTCCCCGAAGTCATCAGTAGTGAGGGAAAATCGGCTGTTAATGAGAGTTAATTAAAAAGTAAACTAACCCCAACCTTTCCTTCCTTCTAATTCGAAGAAATTTGAAAATACCACTTTTCTGTAAATAGGGAACAAGAATGAAGAAAAATAAGAGCCCAGGTAATTTTATAGAGCTCTGATGTAATTGACAAAACCTCATTTAGTGCTTGGGAAGGGTTATTATTGTTCCTTGACTTTCCTCTGCACACAGTTTGTATGTTATTTATTGAGAAGATATTGGAAAATAAACTAGTTCTCACCTCCTCTTTCCTTCAATCACGAGGAGAGCTGAAAAATATCTTTCCGTAATTAAAATACAACAGGAAAGAAAGGTAAGTATAGGTAATCGAATGTAATGAAATAGAAAAAAGTTATCGCTCAGTGCTGGGATAACCGGTACTTATTATCTATTCCCTTCTGTCAGCACACAGTTTGTAAATTGTAGTTTCGCTTGTTTCTTGCCAACAAGATTCTGTATTCAACAAACTCCATACCACTGCCACTTCTTGAATGTTTTCTAGTCTTTCGCTCGAATTTCGCTACTTAAATAAACTATTATTTCTTGGAAGTTTTTGAGCTGTCATTTCTTATATGATTTTCTAGTCTTTTTCCCCTTAAATATGAAATATTAGCACTCAAATATTTTGAAAACCTTTACAACTTCTCAAATAATTTTCCAGTGTTTTGTCTAATTTTGAACCTTGAATGAATTTGAACAAATAAAACTGTGTTTTTCCGTCAGTTTCAATTGGTAGGTATGTTATGATGACGGCATGGTTTTTCTCTTTCGTTTGAATCTAATTTCACCTTCGTACGATCATTTTGAA